CTGTAGTCCAGGTTTCAGGGCTCTTTGTCACTCAATCTTGCCGTCTCTCTCAATCATCTTTTCAATCTGCCCTTTCATCTACTTCAGTCTCAATCATTCTCACTCTATCCTCCTCCCTATTCTTACCTATTTCAGTCTCCTCTAACACACCAACCCCCTGAACCATTACTCCTCTCTTTCAGTCTACCTCCCTCCCTCTCACTGTCCCCCCATCTCTCTGTGTCTGTGTGCTGAGTTGAGGTTTGGAGTGGAAACCAGAGTATCAAGTCGGAGACACACAGGACAAGAGGGAGCCAGCCTCATAAATCTCCCTTAGTGCGGCCCACAGCATCCAGATTCAAGAACGCAGTGTGTGAGTGAGTGTAAATATTTGAGTGCATGCATTTGTGTGTGGGTGCACGCACTTTTGAAGCTATGCGTGTTCATTTTTGCAAATACAAGTGTGCACGTAGGTGATTATATGTATGTGTGCGTGCATTTGAACGTGCGTGTACTTAATTTACTTAATCTACTTAATTTGTGTGAGTGCATGCATTTGTGAAGGGGCACGCATGTGAGTGGGTTTATATATGTCTCTGTTTGTTTATGTGTGAGCACAAGTGTGCGTGCACGCGCGTGTGTAAGAAAGAATAGTCCAGGGCCTATCCAAAAGCAGAGAGGGAAGCAGAAACTCCCTCATGTGGACTGGGATCTACAGTCTCTCATCTTGCCAAAAACCCAGTCCAAACAAGTTAATATTTATTTAACTTGTATATAACTCGTATTTCTGAAGTGCCATCAAAAGCACAACTGTTTTTAAGTCATTTGTTCTGGAAGCACTAAAAATAGTAAAGAAAACAATGTCACCACAATGTCCATTTAGTACTGTAGCTGTTCTGAAGCTTTCTAATCATTTTACATGATCTTCATCATCAGATGGAGTTTGCTCACTTGTCATGGAATTGTAAATTCTCATCCATGTTGGCTTGAAAAATAAAAGCATTAATAATAGTCTCTGCCCTGAAAATATGGTATATATTTTCCATGATGAAAAGAGGTATGCCTGCACACAGACTCCAAACCACAGGTAATTACTCATCCAAGTAGACAATGTTTAGATCCCAGTCACACTGATACTTTTTACACTGATTCTGATTTCCAATCTAATATATTCAATCTAATGAAACAGTGAAAAAAATAGGGGTAAAACAAAAACAAGAATTGACTTTCCATGAATCTAGTTTATATATTCTCTTTATTATATCTAACTCAAACAGCATTTCACATTTTACACCATTATGTGTGTCAAAGGTGTTTAGTGAATTCTTACTACGTAATTTTAATGCAGTCACAAAACAGAAGTTAAATGTTAGACATTCCATTACAAGCAGGAATCAGTCCCATTCTGTAGGGATCTTTAAAAGTATGTTCTAATCAGAATTTCTAAAGAGAAAATTTATAGGGTTCTATAACCTCCTCATTTGTCCTTCTTGTTTGAGCTGACAGCTCTCAGCCACAGAAAAATCTAAAGCAGGAATGAAAAAGAAAGAGTGGGGAATATTAAATCAAATTAGGACCAAATGAGGCGAGTGGCACACTGTCCAAAACCACTTTACACTCGGGCCCCTTGAGCATTGCCCTTCTTTTTCCACAAAGGCTTTGGTGATTTTCTCTGTTCTTTTCATTCCCTTTGCGCACAATTCATATGGATTAGCACTTGGTAACCCCCACTCCCCTTTACACACCCAACTCAACACAACGATAACTATTACAATGTGTGTTTGCTCATGTATGTGTGTGAGCATGAATATCAAGGAGAAAATCAGACATGCAGACATGAGTGTCTACCGCTCTGTGTTTGTGTGTGTGTGTAAGCATATCGACTATGGGAAGGGGAGCCTGGTTTCTGTCCTGACATTGAAGTTAAGACGTCACCCTGAGAGTGCTGTCAGCTCCGAGTTATCCCTGAAGACAGGGTGGCACCAGGCGGAGCAGAGGGGCCTTCAGGGGATTGAGACCCTTCAGCGCATGCTGCATTACCACACACATCACAATCAAACACTTACTAGTGTAGTAGCCACTGCACTCTTTCGAATTTAAACATTTTTCATATCTAATGTATTTACAAAGCGGATGCGGTTTGTGTGCCGAATGCTATATTACACGTTGATGTTTAAGTACTTATGTATAGAGTTTCCTCTTCAGGCGTACTGCAGGGGAACTGTTATGGGAAATAAAAAGTGCTTGGCCGACATACATGGCTGCCTCTCCATTGTACTCAGGGGTTTTGGCAAAGGGTTAGACCTGCCTTTCTATCACTATGAGAGGATATGGAAATAAAGACATTTACTGGCCCTACGCTGGAACAGAACCAGTGTCCCTTTATAGCCCCTGTATTGACGCTCAGACTCTACTGGATGTCTCCTGTGTCCACGTCATGCACAGGAAACAGGGCTGCAAATATAAGCGCCAGTGGGAAACAGACCTATGTGAGGCCAAGTGTATTAGTTTAAATATTGAAGTTATGTTCTCATAATGCAAAGAATTCCCTTAGTCACACACAATACCAGCAGCAGGCTGATCATCAAAATGGCACCAGAAGATCTGGAATCAAAAAATCGCCTTTTATTCAGAATTTTCTCATAAGAAATTTCACCACCAATTTTACCCAAGGACGACTAAAGAAACATTTTCCTGGAAAAACTTATGTATATAAAAAATTTTCAGCAGTGTTAACAGGCAGCAAATAACTTCTTATTTGCCCTTTAACACTCCCTCTCTCCCCCTCCGTCTACTCTTTTCTCCACCCATACCCTAGAGGCCATTTACTATGATTACCAATAACAATAACACTGCCATTATCTTTTATTATCGCATTTTCCCAAGGCCCTGCCAGCTCTTACAGACTTTGATAAAGCTACAAAACTGCTCCTGTTTCAAGCTTGTATAAGGGCTGCGTTGGCTCAGAATTCCCTTAATAGTCACAGTTTGTTTGGGTATCTCACTTGAATCGAAATAAACGGCAATGGTCCACTAAATAGATAGTAAAGTGTTAAGCCACCTCAGACTGCTTTACCGCGGAGAGCTGCTGATAGGTTTCCAGCCATACTGGCGGATAACCCCACATTTCCACATTTTCACACTTTCATTAGAGGAAAACACATTCCAGAGCTTTCTTTAACCGTTTTACAGCCTCTGTCTCAAGGCACAAAAGATTCATTAAGGCAACCAACAGTTCTTAAACATCAGGGTACCTAATTACTGTAGATCTATCGGATCTGTACTCACATGTAATTTTCAACTCATATCTAACGAGATAACGCGAGATAAAATATAATTAATTTTGGCCTTGTTTTTAAAAAATGCTCAGCTATGGGAAAACTATCATGCAACTTAGCGCTGCAATTTTTACATATACAGTAAGCCGGGCCTCATGCCTTTAAAAATCACATTCCAACACATTATATTGGACAAGTACACTACGTAGAAAAAGATAGCTCTGTGATAACAATTACTACAGAAACACTCTCATAAATAGTGAGTTAAACAAAGACAGATTTCACAGACAGACTACAGGAAGTGCTATAAATGTCTCACAATCCTAAAAATGCAGCTGACTCATGGGATGTTTGCAGTAGATGCTACTAGCACACGTGTTTATCTTCTGACCGCTTTGATGACTGTGCATTCCAGAGGAGCTGTGCTGGTCTTGTCAGGAGCTGGACTGACCTTGTTTCACCTTCCAGTAGCATGACTCAGCCCTCAACCTTGAATCTCTCCTCCTGGGGTCCCTTGTTTATTATGTCACAAAAGGCCAGTCACACTCCTCCAACGGTGGCTTGCCCCGGAGAAAGTCAGAATCCAGCTGTAGCAGAGCCCCCCCATCCCTCTCGTAAATAAGCATGTCCAATCTACCCACTGTGTTTCATTAAAACCAGACTACATCAATCAGGGCCTGAACTTTAAAGGCCAGGTCCCCTCTCCAGCAACATGGGAGAAAAACACTGAGCTGTTAAAGTAAAGGACCTCACACTGAACATACACTCCAACGCTCATACACTTAACACCACATTTCTGCTGGCAGACCACACATTGCAACGTCAGTCCAAGACCACACAGTAGGTCTCATAAGGCCGACAAAAGACCTCGTAAGACCTCACACCGGGCCCTAACATTATTCGATAGGACCCAAGAGAATCCCACACCTGTAACTCCACAAACCGCAAAGTAACTCTACTGAATAGCTACTGTAGTCCCCTCACAGCAATTAGAAACCTGGAAACTGTTTAGACCCGTGACTGTTTGGACATTTTTTACTTGACAAAATTAAGTGCAAAGGAAGTGTAAAATCCGCTTTAACCCGGGGCTATTTTCCCAATGGTAAGAGAAGTATAAAGGAAGAGCCAAGCCTACATAGCAGGAAGCTCAGGGGGGTTGCCAGATGGATGGACGGCAGGATGGATGGGTAGATAAACGAGGGGAGGACAGGCAGCAAGAGGGGAGACTGGGAAGGAGTCCCATGGGTGGGGACGGGAAGGCAGCCTCGTGATGGAAAGCTTACAAACTCCTTTCATCGGCTGCCTGAGGACTGGAGCTTTACAAGAGCAAGATGAGCCGGCGCCACTGGAGCTGCTTGGCGCTCTTCAACGAAACCCAGACGTGGAGACAGAACAGGACCCTATCACCACTCCACCCACTTTCTGCCCCAGCCCCAAACACCAGCCCCCAATTCTCATCAACCTCAGCCATGACTTTGCACACAGACACATCACAGTAAGGCTCAGTTGTAGCTGTCACTCTCTTATTAGGCATTACTTTTTGGATTTGAATTGTGAAAGGTGAAATATTTTACTATACAAAACCCTGTTTCAGATGTGTCTTATTTCACCTCATAATCTTCACAGTCTGAAAACCTAAAAGCCATGAGGAAGTAATGACAATATACTATAATAACCTTAGATGTGTTTAGGGATTATGAAGGAATGTGATTAAGCAGATTAAGATAAGATCTTTGGTCTTACCAGTCCACACTAAGAGATCGTCTCCTGTAGGAAGCTGGTCTGTCCGAGGAAGTCTTCTCTGCTTTGACCACACGCTCCTTCAGGGATAGACGATGGGTAAATTTGGATATCCCTGACTCTGACCTTGGGGACAGATCAAGAAAAAAATTAATCAGATTCAGAATAAGACTCTATGGATTAGTTTGGACATGGAACTTCGCCCATTGCTTGGGGAATCTTTAAGAAAACATATGTCTTACAACTTATTCCCTTGTCATCTTGGCAATATACATTAATGAATAGGAGATCAGGAGCAGTTAAACGTCCAGTTAACATCCACTGGATGTCCTGGCAATGCATGGTCACCAGTGCTGATTTTTAAACTCTTAGTATAAATAACTGCTAATAAGAAAACACACAGAGTGACTGATATTTGTGCTGTGGGTTTATCATGTATAGTGCTACAGGAATTCTCTATGCCAAAAAAAATCAATATTGCTGGAGAACACCAATGTCTTTTTCGTATGCCTAAAACTAAACTCAGTTTTGCAGAAATCACAGTACTCAGTGGAAGTGTAGTCTATGAAGTTGGTGAACAGTGCAACAATGCTGCAGTTCCCAGAGGAAACATCAGGTTTCAGGGAAAGCTGCATACTTCCTGCCTAATTTTCTCCAAATCTTTTTCACAGAAAAAAGAAAAAAGTGAAGTCACACACGTTTTAATCTCCTCTACTGGGCTGCCAATGTCCCAGTTCAACTTTTCGCTCAAAATTAAAAACAGGAAATGTAATATTTCTTCCACTTCAGCCCGGGACACATTTGATGAGATTCAGCATTGCAATATTGCTGTGGTAACAGTGGGGACCAATCAAAATGTAATAATACTCTCTATCAAAGAGCCAGGCTCACAGAGGAACGTTGCCGGAACACATAAAAATGTGTGATCTAAAAATTCTCAAGACTTATAAAGCAACGGTTTATATAAATGTAGCCAAAGTGAATAAAAATCTGTAACTTTTAGGTAAGTCTGAGCCTTTAAAATATATCATTGAAGGAATTTTCTATTGGTCTTGCCATGAACACTGTTTTCCCTAAACGACTAAAGATCAAATAAAATGATGCCCAAGCATTGTGCGGCATTCTTTGCTCACCTAATCTCACACACATGCTGTTTCTATTTCATTAAGAAATGATAACACATTCCTAATAATGACTCATACATGCTCGCACACATACATAGATTCCCTCTCAACCTAAGCCAAAAAGTGTTTTAGTCTCCATGGTGAGCTCTGTCAGAGACAAACTGCAGGGAAGGTTGGATTGAGGGGAGCACAGACTGCTGGGGTGCACACTGCCACTCAAAAACAATGCCTGCATCTGCCATCACTGTCGTTGGTTTATGTGAGATGCTGCAGAAATAACAGTTCACATAAGGCTTTGATAAAACAGGACTGATGAAATCGTACAATAGTTCATGTTGTTACTTTGATTACTAAACAATGACATGGATGAATGACAGTGTGGTGATTCGTCCAGTTGCACCTAATTCAATTACCAAATTGGCATAATGTCACGTTCATTTTTTGGCATCCTGTTGCACAGGTCTGACAGGACCTTGAATGAGTAATTCAAACGTTCTTGTCCAGGAGACTACTAACTCCGCAAGAGGACAGAAGGTCTGAGAGTGTCCTGTCAAGTCTACTGCTTCTATGAGAGACCGATCAGATCTGAGAGAATGATTACACTAAAAGATAAAATTGGATCAAGAGCTTTATTGCATCATGGACTTGAAAAAGTTCCCATAGGTGTGACTTCTGCAACCTTGGACATTACAGTGAAACAGTTTTTAAAAAGTTACAGATCCATGCCAACTGGACATTCTACTATCTTGCTTGCAACATTCTCTCCTCTTTTTTTAAACTGATAAAAAAATAAATGTCTCATAATAAAATTGCTTCACTGCCAACATGTATTTCATCCCTGTCTCATAAGGGGCATAATCCACATCCTTGACAGGCATCATACATCAACTTTCTTTGAGCACCAACTTAAAAAACAAAAAAAGTACATTTTAATATTAGATAAACCTTTCACAGATTGGAAGTGGGCATGAAATCAAAGCATCTGGATCATGGACTACTAATAAATCTGCACTATGATCATAATTTACAATAAATATTTCTAAGGAAAGCTCTTCTATCTAATTGTCTTCTGATTGAAATGAAACCCTGAAAATATTCTCTCATGCTCTACAACAGATTCCTCTTAAGAGCAGCTGTTTCACTCTAAAGTTGCCATAGGCTGAGATGAAAATACACAAGTTCTCATTCAAAATGACATCATGCTATGGCTTATCTAGTAGAACAACCCCCAGTCCTACTGCCTTCGTTCCCACTCCTACATCCTCAACTACTGTTTCCTGACCATACGCCAGCTTCTCCAAAGAGTTGGTTGACCTCGAAGACAAAGAGGCATATTTTCCTGTATGAATCACACAAATGGGGTGTGGGATTTTAGTCAGATGGCAGAGCAACCCCTAATTTATGGTATTACGTTAGGCTGGGCTTCTTCTTCTTCAAGGGCTTTTAATTAAATTAGTAGCACTGCCCTGTGCATGCCAGCTATTGCCAAATATTGATGCTGATGTCCCTTTACAGAAACGGTAGATTTCACCGGTGTAAGAAATTCCAATTCATATATAGACTTTGGAAGCGATTGGTTAGGATCATCATTGGCTGTTAATTATTGTCTTGGTTTAAATAGATCTATAGGTATACGAGCAATAGTTACATTAAGACTTCCCTATAAAACTTCAAACAAACGTTCAGATCAAACGCAAGACACGACACGACCATAGGATAATGACTTCAATGCCATGAAAACACATAGGATCATGACTTCAAAGATGCAGGGGCCTGTGGACATAGAAGAGGACTCAGGGAATCCCTTTGAGGGGTTTAGAGGAAAAATGGACATGCGGAGCAGGTGGGTCTCAGCCGAGGGGATCTGCTGGCAACTGGCTGCCTCTTGGCTCCCTGAGAGCGTCAACAATGGCTCCGCCCCATGCAGCTGTCCCTGATAACATCATCACAGCAGGCACACTGATGATGCAATCCCCTTGGAGGCCCACTCAGGATATCCCAGTCGATTAGCCTCTCATCAGAATTATATTTTTTCTTTCATTTCCTAGTGTTTATTTCTGTTTGACTCTGAAATAAGTCATTTGATTGATTGCTTTTTTTATAGAGCTGAGGCTAGCGGAGTCAATGTCAAGTGAAATCACTTACAAAATGATCTGCCCTTGAAGCCATGTGATCCTTTACACGCACAGCCAATGAAGCTTTGAACCTATACGACCAGGAAAGTACATACATGGAGCCAGCCAGTGCTACGGTGCCTGACAGGCTGTCCTCTTTCTTCATACCTACAAAGTCAATGTAGGCACACCTGTATGTGTCAGTCCCTTGTCATTTCTCATCTCACACCTCAGCCTCTTTGCCTTGCTTTCACTGAACAAAGACAAAGGCTATTAAATCATTTCAGACCACATGCAGAATGGATGCAGATCACTTGCTGAGCGAGGCTGCACAGCATGTGTGCACAATGAACAGCAGCTCTGCAGTTGAAGCTTTCTTTTCCATCTCCTTTCTATTTTGCTGGAATCTGTTTGGCCTTTTTTTATTATGTTCTGTTTGTGTCTTTTATTAACTATAACTGCTTAGCAGCGCAGCTTTAGACATGACAATGTCAGTTTCTCAGTAAGGCAGTCATGAAATTTTGCAGTTCTGAGATGTAAAAGCCTACTTTTTGTGAGCGCCACCATGAGGTTGACATTTTATTTTTTTAATGAAATGTCTAAATGAAAATTGGATGGATTGCCATGAAATTCAGTACAGATATCCATGGCGCCCAGAGGATGATTCCTGATGACTTTGGTCATCCCCACTTATCCAGGGAAATATCTAAACATCTGATGGATTGTACAGACTTTCATTGTTGCCAGACGATATGATGACTTTGTTGATCTCGTGATTTTTCCTTTAGCTCCACCATGAGGTTGACATTTGTGGTTTTGCCATGAAATTAGGTACAGACACCTGTGTGCCCTTCAGGATTAGTTGTAAAAACTTTTCATGTAGCACCATCATCATGTCAACATTTTAATTTGTCCAATATTTAGTTTATGACCAATTATTTGCAAAACTAATGACATTAAAATTAAATCATCTGCAGTTCTTTAAATTTAGTGTCATTAGCAAATGTTAGCATGCTAACACACTAAACTACGATGGTATACATGGTAATAATTTTTTGTCATTTTGAGCATGTCAGCACGCTGACATTAGCACTTAGCTCATAACACTGCTGTGCCTGATTACAAAAAGCTGTGGAGTTAAGTGTTTAGTATATTCTTCCTTTGGTTAATGAGAAAAAAAAGCCCAATCTCCACCATTTCTGTATTTTACACTTTCTTATCATCCCTTGTTCCCCCTTATATAGTCCCAGTGACTACAAGATACGATAATTCTTCCTAATATATCCCTCCAATGTTAAAGCCCACCTCTGCCTGACTGCAATGTGACTTAGATTATGATCTTGCCAGCATTAGTAACTTTCCCCAGTCCTGCAGCACAAGAGTGCTTTTGTCAGCAGTGAATGGCCTGTGTGGTGATACGGAGAAAATGTTGACCTACACTAACATACACACTTTTAGCCCTTACACACACTTTCACACTGTCACCATGAAGGATCGCTTTCTTGCAAACAACCCACCTAATGTCACTTTCCCTCTCTGTTCTGTTGCCATGGCAGCAATTAACTGTTCAGAGGTATTCATGTGCAGAACAAACTCTGCTAAAGAACTGATTGTTCTTGTTCACAGTACACAAAGCTATCGACTGTGCCCTTTGACCTTGCCATCTCAGCCTCAGTAATCCACTGCTATTTGAGAGCAGAAATAAGACTGCATGGAATTCCAGAAAAACGTTGCCGCTGAGTTAACAGTGAGCTAAATGGAGAGGATTATTTATACTGTAGACTGTAGAATATTCCCAATTGAATTACTATTACTAAATTATAAATATTCATAAATTAGGAATGCATATTTACAAGCTCCATTTCCCTAGGCGTAAATTATTCAATTT